CCTGCCTCTCACTCTAATCGTCTTTCTACCCCCACCATTGCCATCAGCGGTCCATTCTAGATGTCGATGATCGTAACCTATCATAACCGCTGACTATAGGCGTTCAGAGATGGTGGTCTGCTGTCAGAATTTTTGCGCGTTCCGAATGGAATTAAAAATTGCAACCTTTTATTGACTGACTATACGTATAACCGGTATAACATATTCCGACGATATATAGTATATACATAAGAACAAAAATGCCTATCCGAAGTTGCACACGTATTGGAGAAAGCGTAAAAAGGAATTAGAAGGCTTGAAAAGGCATGGTCAGGCCTTCGTGTCGCCATACGTACATATAGGCTGGGTTCGGGGAGACGCTATTAGCGATATTTGTGTCATTCCATCTTCATCGTCCATTAAATGTGAAACAAGGATAGTTTGATACAAATAGCGTTGATAGCGCGCTCCCCGAACGCAGTCATAGTGTATAATACTAAAAAAAAAATTTACGTTACGTCCAGTCAGTACAGTGAATGAGATCTATTAGTTGTTAGTGCGGGTACGATAACGTTACACGGTTCTTCTTTGATCGTGTTTCGATTAAATCCGATATACACTGGTGAAACAACAAATCTAAAGGTTACGTCGTTACATAGATTTTTAGTATTAATAATACATGTATGAATGGGGACACAAATGCTTGGCCATGCTTTTTCAAGCCTTTTCATTCCTTCTTATGCTTTTCCAAGTGCAACGTTAGATAGTCATTTGTATCCCCATGTGTATATCGTCGGAGTATGGATCATGGTCAATGAATGCACTCCATAAACATATGAAACTTTTTCGATTGTAATGGATTTGGATTCACCTGAAAACGATTACCCGAAAATATCATGATCTTACCTAATCAGAAAAAAAGATGAAATATGTTCAAGGTCATGACCTTGATATATATATATATATATCAAATATATATACATATATATTTGATATACAGGGTGACCTATTTTAATTTAGCCAAATAACTCGAAATATCAGGATTAAATAAAAAAATGTTTAAAATAAAAATTGTTGGATATGAAGGGGCTGATTGAACTATGACCATGACAATGACCTTGACCTTCATTTTCAAGGTTATTT